TCAGTTAGTTACAGGAATTCAAACATAGAGCTTTAATAAATTATATTTATGCATAATTTACTTGTAATCTTGAATTTTAAGTAATATGCATCAATATACAGTACTTTATACATAAAAAATGGTTTTTAAGAGTTTTTGTCAAATGTTTTATAATATAGTATAGATACAAAAAGAAGTCATATGAATTGTTAACTTAAACAAGAACTTTGCATATCTATTATATGAAAATATATCATATAAAATAATGTTATTTTAATTGTTTTACATATTCGAAATGTTATGTGTTAAAGTGAAAGATGTGGGGTTATTTTAAATAAAGGCATAATTAACAAATGACATAATGTTATGTCGATTTAAACTTAGGAGTAAATTTAATTTCTAAAATCTTAAGTTAATTTATGGCATTTAATCATCGATTGATCACAATTGATTTATTACCAATTTAACATTAATTTTACAAAACGTATAGAATTTGGTGCTATTTTTCGTTTAATTAATAATAAAACAATCATTTTTTAACACATGTTAATTGCATTATATTTGTGTATGTTTATTTAAAAAATACCATTTTTTCAAAGTTAAATATTTAAGTGAGAGAAATATATGAAAATTATTATAAGTAGAAAACAAAAAGAATAAATTAGTGTAAGCTTAATCCGCTCAAAACGTGACCAACAACCTACAAAAGCTACAAACACTGATGTGATGTGAATAGTGATGGTCAAAAACCGGTTCCGACCAGGCCAGTTAATCGGTATCAAGCTTTCTCATAACTGGCCATAACCGGTTCCGGCGTAACCGGTCTCGGTCGAAAATGGTATGACCGGTCAAGGTACTTCATAACCGGTTATGGGCCGCCGGTCCCGGTCCCAACCGGTCCTGACATTAAAAATAAGATTTTTTTTAACTTTTCTAATGATATATATTTTTAATACATTATAAAATTTACAATTGGGTCACTCAAATACACTTTAAAAATGCGTTTTAATATAATTAAAAATACATTGTCTTATAAAAATAAATTATAAAATTATTTAAAAATACATTTATTTATAAAATTATTTGAATTTTCGGGCCGGGTCGGTCCATAACCGGTCTCGGTCCCTGTCCCACGAAATTACCAAAAACTCCAACCGGTCCCAGTTTTCGGTCTCATAACCGGTCCTTACCGGTCCCGGTCCCAGGCCGGGTCTGGCCGATTTGGCCATCACTAGATGTGAATGACATCGTAACATTAAAGCTTAATTTATTTCGTGACTTGGTTTTATAAATACTGATTTCTATTTAAAAACAAACATTTATCAAAGTTATCTTAATTTCCTCTATTTTTAGATTAACATTTTTGTGTTAATACTTAATAGGGTGGATTTACAACTGCAATAACAATGGACTAAATTCCCGAAGTTATGAGCCCAAATATTTGTGGCCCACAAAATTACATCCAATGACGATGGCCCAGAGCAAAGATTGGCATCACATTGAGATCGGGCTTAGATTAATTTTGTACAGTATGTTGTTAAATGAAATTCTGAAGATCGGGCTTAGATTAATTTTGTACAATATTTTTTAATAAATAAACTATCACACTTTTAAAAATTAGTTAATTTTTTTAACAAAAAATGATTACATTAACCGACTAATAAAAGTTTTATGATTTATTTTTATTTTTAAAAAAAATTCAAAGTCTTAATCATTTAAAATTGTTTTTCATTCAAAAAAACAATTTAGGAACTAAACCATTCAAAATGATAAAAATTCGTTGGTTTTTTTGAACTTTTACCGATAACTATCATAAATGATTACTTGGTATAATTTACGTAAATTTGTTTTGTAGTTTTCAAATAATTTTCTTAATAGAATAATTGTTTTAACACAAAATACATTTTTCGCAAAAATAAAAATAAAGTTGCACGGTCCACAACTCACAAGTCTTACATTTTGAATAATTAGCATTTGAAAACATTATGACTCGTGACTTTACAAGCTGCATATATTCGGCCAAAGAGGTCAAGGAATCATAAAGATTTCACATTTTGCATGATAAACTAAATTAGGGTTTGTTTACCAAACACAATTACTTGGTAAGTACTTATCGATAAAATTTAACACTACTACTTATTTATTGGGTAAGATTTTATTCCACCAAAACGATATTGTATGCAATAATTTACCCAGTAAACACTTACCGTGGTAACAGTCGTCATTCTCACTTACGGGTAAGATTCATGGTCCTTGTCTCGCTTTTACTGGGGTAAGATTTTTGGTTCTTATCATATTCATCCGTTGAGGTAATAGGACTTGATAAATGCTTACCCAGATAAGCGTTTGGTAAACAGCCTCTTAGCTTTTAAAATTTTAAAATGGTTATTTAGTATTTTGTATGATAAAAGCTTCGGAATAAAATGACCACTAAAGAGAAAGTGGGCCTCACTCTTCTATGGTCGATATACTTAAAAAGATATGTGACTTTATTTGATAAACATTTGAATAAAAAGGTTGATTATCAGTAATTTGACTGACTTCAAATGAGATTTGTCTTTTTTTTAATTAACCTGAATATTCTGCTCATTATGCGAGCCGACTAATCTTAGGATAACCGTCTGCTTTACAGATAGTCCAGAGTTATCGTATTTAAACCTTCGTGGCCACAAAGAAAGAGATTTGTCTTTTATAACCCACCTGTGAGAGACATTCTAAAGTTAACATATACATACAGAGATGAAATAGATTGTATAAGTATTTATACACATGATACAATATACAAGCTGTTATGCCAAAAATACCTCTTAAGCACATAACTTATCCAATATCGTAAAATTTCGGTTTTCCAATAATTAAATAAAGAATGCGTTGATGATACTGACAAAAACAAAGGTTACAGTAACTAATTAGCGGTGCTGCTTGTATTTAAGTGACGTTAGAATTGCTATGTATATGTATACGTGTCGAATTTGTGATACGTAAGACCCTTAAACTCTCACAAATGGACACCAACTTCAATTCTCCATGCATTCATTTCACTGTAATTAGAAGAATGACGCAAAATTACGGGCTCAAGACATTTGGCATGACACGAGTCAGTATGTGAAGAAATGGGTGCAAGTGACTCACCATCTTGGCTCTTTCATATTAAAATTAACCCAACCCAACCCACCCATGCACCCAACACAACATTCTACTACCACTTGGTTCTTCAAACAAACACCTCAGACACAATTAAGTGGAGGCCTCAGAAAGTCTGTAAGTATATATCTTATGTTAGTTGTTTCATTTGATACTTGATGTAAATGCTCTGAATCATGCATACGTTTTTTAGGTCCAATATTAACCAATTAAAATCATATATATATATATATATATATATATATATATATATATAATAAATTATTCACCATTTTAAGAAAGTTATTCTCAAAACAAGCCTGTTTAAGCATACCTAGTTTTGGGCATAGGTAAGTAGGACAATATGTTTGCCAACATTTATGGCTACAAGAACAAACATTCATAGGGAAAATCTCCTTAAAGGCCTCATATTTTCAAGATTGTAACATATATAAATCCACTACAACGAAATGTAGTTATCAAGATTTCTTTAGACAATCGCAATAACGGAATTTAATCGCACTAGATGTCATCATACGCTCGCCATATTTGTATACACCATTTATTTTTGCACTTGCGTGATCGCTTGGATTGATTTGTGCGTTATTTGTTCACGGGTCGTTTTCAAGGTCCTAGTACCAAAAAGATCAATGCTTGTTGCATAAGTAGTATAAGTTACTTTATCCATTCTTAGCTACAATATGGAAATAGATGAGGAACACAACTCTTTGTGTTTTGGCAATCAAAGAGATAGCGTACCATTTGTGAAGCATACATGCAGTTTTCACGTTCTTATATATTTCTCAACTCTTGAAAAATATGAAAATGGAACACACATAAATAGAAGCTGAACGATCTGTAATTAACCCTGTGATCCTTTTTGCTAATCGATCACTTGGTGGCTTGACAAATGGACCACCGAGTGCACAACACATTTGAAAGAGGATGTTGATATGGACAATGGGTGTATGTTGGCTCACTTGATGGCTTGACAAATGGACCACCCGGTTTAGCACACGTATGAAGAGGATAATGACATGGACAATGGGTATCTGAAAGGTTAAGACCAAGTGGCGTAATAGAAGATTGACAAGAAGTAGTGTATGTATGGTTCACCTAATGCCCATAAAGGACACAAAAAAGTTCATATCCAATCGAGCCTTTCACGAGTTTATCCTTTAGGTGTAATCTCATTTTCAAAACCTCCCAACTATGTATTACAACCTTCATTTTCTTTTTATTTTAATTATCAATTACAACAAAAAGGGAAAGTTCATTTTATTCATGAATTATTTTATAATGAATATTCTTAAACATTCATGAACATCATTTATCATAAATATCGCGACTTTCATTCGATTTTTCATACTATTTATCATGACTAGCATGGTTGCTAAATAAATGAACTTGTCGGATAAAATAAGTGCCTACTATATATTTGTACATGTTTGAGATCGTTCGTCACAATCATGAAATCGTTTTTAAGTGTTATATCGATACGTTAATTAGCTAGCGAGCTACGGTGCTTGCTTCCTGCCGATTTTTTCTATAAATAATACTTAACCTTTTGGTATGCAGAAGAAGTCAAGCAAACCTTGTTAAAATTGTTATTTTCTTGTTGTTTGATGGAATATTCAAGCCAACCTTTTTCAATTGGTTTTAACTGCAGGCATAGTCTCTTACAATGGTTGATTGCAGTCAAACACTGGCTGCTAGATGATTAACAAGGGCGTAGACAAATTAAAAGGGAAGTGTTTGCTAGTCTTCTCACTTTTTTGAATTAATTATTAATTATATATATATCATTAACGTTCTAATTATTGCAGATATTATTATCCAAAAATAAAAATATCATAAAAGAGGGTGATTAGATAATTGACAAGTAATCAGATAACTAATTAAGGAAGCTTCATGCCCGTAGTCCATAGATTCTTTAATTGCGTATCCATCATGCATGGCCTATATAAAGAAACTCTCCCTCTTCTCATTCTCATATCATAAAACCCTTTTACAAGAGATTTATCAGCTACCAAAGTATGGACTTTTACTATGCTTTTTCTTTCGCTTTTCTTCATGTTCTTGCAATCCTGTTCACTCCTTTAAGAGTCGTTCATGGCTCCACTCCTACCACCACATTCTCTGTATGCAGTCAAACCCCTCATCCTGAAATTTGCACTTCTTTGATTGGGAAGACTAGTAAACAAACCTGGTTTGAGGTTCGCCAAACCACCCTTGTGTCTACTTTGGCTCAAGCTCAGCATGCCCATGAGCTTGTTTCGGCTATGGACCTGAGTTCTTTTGAACCAAGGGCTAAGTCTGCTTGGGTTGACTGTATGGAGCTTTATGAGGACTCGGTTTATCAACTAAATCGTTCTCTTGGTTCTGCCAACAGTAACGATATCCAAACATGGCTTAGTTCAGCCTCTACCAATCATGAAACATGCCAAAATGGTTTTCTTGATTTCAACTTGTCTTCCCATCTTCACACTTTTCAATCTTCTTTAAGTGGCTTCTCAAAGTACCTTAGCAACTCTCTTGCTATAAACAAAGCCGTAGCTCCATTAGCTATAAGTCCTGAACAGATTAAAGGGAGAAGACTCCTGGCAACAAATAAATTCCCAAAATGGTTGTCAATAAGTGATAGAAAGCTTCTTGCAACCCCCTCCGGTGCTACCTCAGCCAATATAGTGGTTGCTCAAGATGGTTCTGGTAACTACAAGACCATATCCGAGGCCGTTTCTGCTGTGCCTAGCCTTAGGAAAGGAAACTCGAGATTTGTCATATACGTGAAAGCCGGTGTTTACAAGGAGAATGTAGATATCAAGAAGACGATGCAGAATTTGATGTTCGTTGGAGATGGTATGGGTTCTACAATCGTTACAAGTGACAAAAATGTGCAAGGTGGTTCGACAACTTTCCGGTCAGCAACCTTTGGTGAGTCAATTAATTTGTCACATATTTTTTTTCTTCGACCAAATCATGCATCAGAAAATCTTTATGATATTTCAACCAAATGTCATTCTCATGTTTATAAATATCCCTTGCATGTCATCTAGCAGTTGATGTTATATGTTCCATTTAGTTAAGGAAGACTTTAATACCATAGCATATACATACATACATACATACATATATATATATATATATAGCAAGAACTACAGAAGTCCATACCATGCATAACATGAAAGTGACACGAGATTAAAAAACATATCGATACATTTATCGTCATTAAATTTAGTTATATAATAAGTATAAAATAATATTTAAGATATGTATTTTGCAACTATGTAAAATGGGTACTTCAAATTTTGCAGGGTTTAAATGATATAATATAAATTAACATAACATGTTGATCATCCAGTCTTTCACAAAAATTCAGAAATTATTTTTTGTGTTTTCTTTAAATATTTATTGAATTTCCAGCTTTGTATGAGAGACGAATATGGAAATATAAGTCGATATGACATTAAAGATTTCGAGGTTGGAGATTTTATATTTATTAAGAGTTAAATCAACAAACGGTTCAATCATTTTTTTTAAAGTATAAAATATTTATATACAACAAATAGAACAAATAAACTCAGATACCCTCCTCACATTTGGTTGTTTATAATTTTTCGTTAATCTTATTTGCTTCATCTCGTAATATTTCATATATATATATATATATATATATATATATATTTGTTTAATCACAAAAATATCACATCTTACTTAACAGTAAATTGATAAGTTTCTTGTAATTAGTTTATTTTTAACTAACTTATGTATTACATCCTTTTCATGTTAATTAAAATCATAGAAAAGTGGACTAAGTCAATATCTGTATTTGTTTGGATTTAGTGTTAATAAATAAGGCCCTTAGTCACTTAAAATGGAAAAATAAATTTATGCTATATATATTAATAAATTTATGTCATACAAATATATATAGAAGATGTTTCAAATACAATTCATCACATTTGTACAACCAATGCAACTCAGTCAATTGAGATATTTATGAAAATAATGAGAGTTGATTTATTATGATTTAAATATTTATGAAAAATGATTAAGGTTTAATAATTATAATCAATATTTTATATTCAGAAACAATAAAAAAATTTATGAAATCACATATTTATCAAATTAAATGAACGGTTAAGATTGTGTTGTATTAGTTTTATAAATATAAAGGGTTGTATTATAACCTTTATATATATATATATAATAAAAAATGAAATGAAATTATCATTTTCCTATAGGGCCGATAAATAACTTATTGGTATTATTTTTTTTCTTTTTGATGGTTTCATATATCAATAGATTTATTTTCAATCTTTTTAATGATTTTTTTTACAAAGGTATATAATCACCAATTAAAATTGGCTTTTTAATAAAAAATATTACAATAAGTTTATTAAGATGTTTTGTTTTGTAATTAGTTCTTAATAATTTTGTTATACACTTAAATTTAAAATAAATGGCGTATTGTTTTTGTCTTTTAGAAATCATAACATTAATTTATATATGGGAATGAAACTCACATCTCATGCTTAACCTTTGACCTTTAGACATATGGGTTATTAAAGACCCTTTCACATATGCTCATAGTTTTTTTTTTTTTTTTTGTAGCGTATTAAGAAATTACTCCCTTGTTTTTTAGTCCAGAAGTACCTTTATATATTAAGACATTTATAAATGTCAGTGCTTGTTTGGTTCCACCAATTTAAAGATTATAAAATAATCTATTATAATAATATGTTATTGTAATGTTTATTATAAATATTGTTATCCACATTAAACCATTATTTTAATTATATTAATTAATAATTAAACACACACTCAAATCAGATGTCTATCAATTCGGATAAGCTTTTCTTTCACTTATATTATTGTTTTATCCTGGCCGTTGACCAGCGGTTTCTGGAGCTGGGTTCATCGCTCGAGATATGACGTTTGAGAACACAGCCGGACCAGCACAGCACCAAGCCGTGGCCTTTCGGTCTGGTTCAGACCTATCGGTCGTCTACGGGTGTGCCTTCAAAGGCTATCAAGACACACTTTATGTCTACTCTGGACGTCAATTTTACCGCAACTGCCAAGTCTACGGGACCCAAGATTTCGTCTTTGGGAACGCTGCCACAGTTCTCCAAAGCTGCAATATATATGTTCGAAAGCCGCTGGGTGGTCAGAAGAACACCATCACAGCTCAGTCCCGAACCGACCCTAACCAGAATACTGGCATCATAATACACAACTCAGCCGTCATGGCTGCTTCTGATCTGAGAGGCTCAGAGGGTTCGTTCGGGACCTATCTTGGTCGGCCATGGAAGCAGTACTCGAGAACGGTGTTCATGAAGTGCTCTCTTGATAGCCTAATCAACTCTGCTGGTTGGTATCCATGGGATGGTAATTTTGCTTTGAGTACACTGTATTATGGTGAATATATGAACACCGGCGGTGGTGCCGGCACAGGTGGTAGGGTGAAGTGGCCAGGATACCATGTGATCACGAGTGCCGACGAGGCAACAAAATTTACGGTTGGGAATTTCTTGGACGGTGGGTCTTGGATTCCGGGGACCGGATTGCCGTTCACTGCCGGGCTATGAATATGTACAAAAAATTTCTATTATGTTATGTCGTTTTCAATATATATATATATATATATAAAGTAGGGGGGATTATGGTACTTTTGGTTAACGATAAGGACTTGTAATAAAGGAGGGGTGGAAACGTCATTACATGTAGTTTGATAGTATTTGTATATATCGAAAAGATACAAGGGCATATTACGTACATATTGTCCTTTAGTTAAGTTTGAAACGTGTATTGAGATTGTTTACTGCTTAGTTTGGCTTTTAATATATAGAAAATTTTATGAGTTCTGTTTAAATTAGGTATAAAATAGGCATGATGCATTAAAGTTATGCTTAAATATTGAAACTTGTGAGAGTTTGAGTTTAAACATAGATTTGTTTAGCCATAAAATGTAACATTTGGACTTCAGTTGTTTCAAGGGTACCGAAGGTACAAGACTCTAATAAATTCGAGTCAATTGTTTGTGTATGCTCACTCCGATTGCGTTGTTCTTATAGGGTTGAGTAAGGTTAATTGTATACTTGTAATTGACTAATTTGCATAATAATGTTTAAGAATTAAGAGGATCTAAAAGAATTCAAATCCTGCTTGAATCATGTAAAACGTTGGTGCGTTTCCAATTGTTGTGGTATATTTCCATATGAAGAAGGTTCATCTAAGTTTTTGGAAACAAATATATTCTAACAAGGCAACATGTACATACATTTTTTTTGAAGTATCTATAATAATATATTTTGACAACTATGTAGATATAAATATATCATAAATTTCTGAAAATAAATAAATTATATGTGTAAATGATATAGCGTTGACTATTATATATATATAATTCAATATGGATATAGATGGATGCGTACAATCGTTATCTATGTATGGTAGAATTTATTGCTATTGTTGGGGAGGAGATTGAATCGAAGGCATCGAATACAAGATAAAATATAATTTATTTATAGATTATAACGATTTACAATAATTAAATAAGTAATTGAATATATAAGGTGCTGACTGAAATGTGTCATGGTTGATCCAAATAAAAGAGTGGTCGAAGAGGAATCAAATTAATCATGCATGAAAAGTGACAATATAATAATTTAGGGGTGATAGATATTTTTATTAAGTAATCATTATATTATTTAATAAAATATATGTTTATATATTTTAATTAGTATTTAAGTCTAAATATGTATTTGATATATTATTATTATTATTATTATTATTATTATTATTATTATTGTTATTTTAAATGTACACTTAATTTCTTATCCGTGATATTAATTATATAAGTTTTGTATTTTAATATAAAATTTATATCAAAAGACAATTAAATAACTAAACAAAAAGGGAACAAGTATGAGATATAAGAAGTATGTTGGGAGACTAATTTATATATATATATATATATATAAAATAAAAAATAGTAGAAAGAGAAAGTCAGAAAGTAAATGATAGATTAATAATGATAGAGAAATAAATGTTTTTAATGATAAAAAGAGGAAAGAACAATAATAGACACACGTAAAAAGCTATAGAATATAAAAAGGTATTCTTATAGTAACAACCTCATTTATTTAATATTTCAGATGTATGTGAAGTCCATAAAAAATTATTAAAAACACATGAATAAAAATGAAAATATAATTATAAATATAAATATATATATATATATATATATAAATAAATTGGTGCCTTGCAGATTCATTGTCATGGCGTGCCCGCTATACCCGATTCGCTTGTGTTGCTGATGGTAATGATATGGTGGATTACAATTCTATAATTAAGTATTTTATATTATATATTTTCAGAAAATATAAAATTGTTACGTTGTAACGTGTTTAAAAAATAAATACAATGTTTTTAATATGTTACTAAAAATTTAGGAATAGAATCTTTTTTTATTGAATCCTTGAACAAAATATTAACTTAAATATTCAACCCGTTATGCGAGCCAATTAATTCCAGAACAACCACTTGTTTTGTGGGTAACCAAGAGTTATCGCATTTGAATCTCAATGGCCACAAGAGAATTTTTATTTTTTATTGGATTTGAACCTGAGACTTCCAGATACTTTTGACTTTATTAGAGCTCAAGTTCAAACTAATCAGACACCACCCTTGTGGTTGAAGAAAGAAGAGAGAGGGATATTATAATAAAACCGAATTTATATGACGTAAAAATGTTTAAGTATCAATAATTTGTGTTATAGAAATTAAGTTAATATGACCAAACCATTAGGTGTCATATATAAAAGCGTTGCAATAATTTTAACAAGTTTTTTTAACACGTTGCAAAAATAAAGAGTTTGTTATCTTTTTATAGGACATTTTTTAGAATTGTCAACAAATATTTTTATAGAACACTTGTTTTTATAAGACGTATCTTTCAAACAGTGTCACAAAAAATTAATATGATGATTTACTTAAAAATTGTCCTAAAAAACTTGTTGGTCCAAAAGTATCTTATAAACCTACTCCATGCAATGTTATAGGACCATAATTGCTTAATCTTATGAACCTAATAAAACAATCTATATATTAAATCAGTTAAATAATTTTGATATCTTATAAATCCGGTTTTTTTTAGTTGGAAACGATAGATGGTGATGGTGCTAATGGTGGGGGGCAGAGAGTATGGTGGTGGGGCGGTGGGTAGAGGAGGCAATGAAGATGAAAAATAGCGAAAATAGGAAAACATGATGAAAATAAGAGAGATGCTTAAAAAGTTTGATGGAGCTTCTGACGATTTTGTGTTTGAACTTCATGTTCTTGTAGAAAGTAACGTAGCTCTACGTATTCAAGTCACACACTTTGCGAAACAAATATGGTGACATTATTGATCAGAAATACGTACAAAAATAGCAAACGTTAATTAATGATGTAAAGAAACAACTTAAGTTGGAGTGAGACTGATTAATGATTTGTCATCGTGTTTGAAAAGTACAAAATGGAAAAAAGAAGTGGAGGACCACAAAATTTCGCGATATAGAGAATGTTCCGAAACAAAACCGTGAGGGGAGACTTACAAGTATTTGATGCCGGTCAACGAAAATACCGTATAATTTCAGATAGGAGACACTTGATACATATGTTTCTTTCGAGGGTGTATTGCCGAAAGTATTTATTCAATATTTAATTGTTTATGGAAATATATAATACATGCGTTAAATACCAATAAAGACAGGTTTATTAAAATCCTAACAAGTTTATTACAACCAATGCAACCCAATTAATTGAGATATTTATGGAAATGATGAGAGTTCATTTATTATGATTTGAATATTTATGGAATATGTATATATAGAGGTTGGTTATTATACAACCCTTGACATTTATGCAACCAATACAACTCAATCTCAACCGTCCATTTCATTTGATTTATATGTGATTTCATAAAAGTTTTGATTGTTTCCTAATATAAAGTATTGATCATAATTAATGAACCATATTCATCTTCCATAAATATTCAAATCATAATAAATAAACTCTCATTGTTTCCATAAATATATCAATTAATTGGGTTGCGTTGGTTGTACAAATGGACATGGTTGTATTTGAAATATACCCTATATATATATATATATATATATATATATACACATACACACACACATACACACACACACACAGAGGAGCGATCAAATGCAAACAACTCAATTTGTACAAACCGTGCAAATCACCCTTATACATCGATTTCATTGTTTAATCTTATGAAATTTTTTCATGAAATTATTTAATCTTGTGAAATTGTTTCATATAATATTTTTTTGATAAAGTTGTTTCATATAATATTTAATGAAATTTTAATGAAACTGTTTCATGTATTTCTCTAAAATTAAAATAATGAAGATGATAATATCCATGATTAACACTCTTATCAATAAAAATGATTAATCAACCTCTCGTAATTACAAAAAAATAAATAAAATGAAAAATTATGATTGGTTAAATGAGGTTTTTTATGGTTTGTACAAATAACATGGTTTGCAAAGTAAACCTCCTTCATATATACATACATACTAGAAGGTACTCGCGTAATACAGCGATATATATCTCGGTTTTGATGTGTCATTTTTATTTCGTCTCTGTAGATGTTCTAACATGGTTTTTATATGGTCTTTGAGAAAGATATAATGTTTTTATTTTTGAATAAAATATAAATTTAAATATATCCTAAAATTTCGAAAATAAGTAAATCAATATTGGTATCAAATTAACTATTTGAAGGTTCTTGTTTTTTGTGTAATTTATTTAATATAATTTTTTTATAATTTATTTCTGATTTAATTATATAATATTTTTTATAAGGATAACAATTAAGTAATGTTAGAACTCAATTATTATCCTAATTATATTTTAGATTTTTTTATATTTAAAATAAAATATTTATCTGCAGTTAATGACACGAATTCAGACATGAAACATTAATAAGTTGTATTTACGTACAATTTATTTGTAATCTTGAATTTTAAGTAATATGCATCAATAAACAATATTTCATGCATAAAAAAATTGGTTTTTAAGAGTTTTTTTCAAATGTGTTATAATATAGTATAGATATATATTTCGCAATATTTATATACCCATAAAACATGTATCTCACATCCATCTCAAAATAAATACAACGATTACAAAATATAAGCCAAAATTGATTTTTTGATATATAAAGATATTCTAAAAAATTTACATTATTAAATGCAAAAATTAATAATCAAAAACAATTTTCAAAAGGCATGTCTTTTAGCTATAAGATTGATTTCCATGAAAGGAATATTAATAAAGAAAGTAAATTAAATTATAAAATGTAATCTTATGTGGTCGAAAGAAAAGCCGGGAATGAAGTGTCACACTCAGATTCAATAGCAAAGAAAAGAAGCAAGGCCAGGCCCGCTACAACGAAGACCAAGATGACGCTTGGATGGCACTCGATCGGTTTTCTAACTCATTTATTTTACTTTACTCGAGGCCTTTCATTTTCTGCTTTTAAAACGTTTACGTTTGATTGGTTAACATAATAATACACATTTAAGTTGACAACTTGTTGAGTTTAGTGGCAGCAAATTCCAATGCCTTGTGGGAAAATAACAAAATAGTAAGTAAAGCATGGACCATGTACCCTTAGCCATACATAAAGTGCAAGAAACAAATTTTAAGTCCATTTCTTGATTAGCCATACCATACATCAAAGTGTAAGAGACCAAGTCTCAAGTCTCTTTCTTATCACATCTAGTATTAATATATGAATTTAAAGTTTTATAGAAATATTTATGTGGATTCTATCCAAATGCG